GGGTTGAAAATGCATGTGTAGTTGTACAGTTAATTAAGCTCATCCCCCAGAAAGCTACTATCTGCATTATGTGAACCACTACATCAAGGAGGGCCCTTCTTCCTAGGCATTACACCCAGGACTCTGTTCTGTCTGGGGTGTAATGATAAACAAAATGTACCATTACAGCTAAAGGATCCATTTACCCTTCCCAGTATCCTCTGTTTCACTCCTTTCACCTAGAGGACCTAATGATTTTATATAAATTACTTTTCTAAGCACTTTCCTCTAACATGGAGTATAAATTTAACCAAAATGGTCTCTAGCAACTGACCCTGTAACAGACAGGGATACAAATACATACATAAAATTTTAGAAAATTTAAAAAAATCCAAAGATGAAAATATTTGATATAAGGAATATTAAGGAAATGATAGGAAAGGAAAAACAGCACAATCAGAAAACATACCACCATTCAGAAATGTGAATTTCTGCAGTTTCAACTGCCTAATACAGTTTGATTCAGTATGACACTTGTTATTTTAATTCCTTAATCTGTCTTCCCTTCTATAAATTATATAATGCATCTTGCTTTCAATGGCCAATGAGTAAGAAAATATCTAAAAAAGACATTTGATATAATTAGTTCTGACCCTTAGCAAATTACACTATGAAATTTCTCTAAAAGGTCATTCATGTACCATGTTAAAGAAAACATAAAAGGGTAAAAACATAAATCCCTTTCACCCCATGGCAATTTATTCATTCTTTTACCTTCTCAGCATATGCAATGTGCCAAATCTACCATTAGCCACCATCTAAAGAGAACTGGTACCACTGCCCACTCCTCTACCTCATTTTCTTCTCAATGAATTCCCCATCCCACCCCCTTTAAATTTATGTCTTCCATGAGAAGGGAGAGCCACCTCCAACAGGGTACTAGTGCCACGACCCATCCCTAGCCTAGTGGAACCCACTCTAAGGCATGTATGTAAGTTTAGCGTGTATACAGGGAGGTCCCAGGATAGGAACCCAAGACACTTCCCATGTGGGTCCAGTTGCATTACCACTATGCCACCATGTAATCCCTAAATTCCCGTTTCGCTACCTTTAAGCTTTAAATCACCTTTGAAACTTCAACCTTAGATAATTCTGAGTTTTATTATCTAAAGTGAAGACAACTGCTTCAAGAAGAACTGACTGACAGTTGATCTTGGTATGGAATATTACGTACAAAAATCACTGCCTCAGAGCTCTGGAGAAGCTGCTTCATAATTCTGCTAAGACAAATAGAGTAACTTTGGGATTTTCTCTTATACGTCATACTCTTAAAATTTCACACACAAAAAAAATACTATCTAGATATGGTTTTAAATCTTCTGTACCATAAATTCTGAGTCAGTTCTTTGACCTTATTTATTCATTCCCTTTTGTATGTGTTAAGTTTCCCTTAAATGCCTAGTGACCTTGGGCATGAGTGTACCAGAAAGTCTTCAAAGATTCATTCCTACAATAGAGTGATTTTT